TGAATGTATCAATTACTTAACACCCTAACCCTAATGCTGGAAAATCTCTTAATTGTGTGAGGAATCAACATTTATTAGGTTTTCTTATGAATTTCATGTGTGAGGAATCAACATGGATGATTTGAGTATGTGACATCAACATTGTTAGGTTAATTGACATTCTTAATTGATTTAGCCATTACAAAAGAGGGATAAAGAAGGAAGTCAATCCTAAGTACCTTTAATTGATATTTTCTCAACAATTTACAGTTCTTTGTCATTTAATTTCAATTCAACTCTTATTTGCAAAACTCATTCTGTTTTAATCTACTTAGTAAGCATAGTTGAAAATTTTCATTGAAACTGTTTCTCGTGGGATCGACTTTTATTTAATTGAAATACTATACTGCGATTGATAATTTTAGTACGCTTGCCAATAATTCAACAAGTATTTTTGATTTAGTATTATGAGAATTGCATCATATGCAAGAAGGTTAAGTTTAGAACCTAATCCCGTAGGATCTCACCTATCTTTGGTAGATATTTGAATTTTGTATTAGGGCTCACAAGGACAAAAAGAAGAAATGATTTCATCTTTCTGGTAGTGGATTGAGTTTAAAAAATGATCAAATTTATTTCAGGCTACAAAATAGATGATGCATATTTGATTTTAAATCTTTTCTTTAAAGAAGTTGTAAGGTTGCATGACATTCTTAAGACCATTGTGTCATAGGACACAAATTTTTTGAGCCATTTTGAAGAATTTTATGGAGAATTATATTATGTGTTTATATGATTTTAAATAATATAGTTAAATATAAAATATTGTTATGTTTATATTATTTGTTAATTTAACTATTAAAATAGTTATTTTAGTAAAAACATAGCATTAAAGGTAATAAGATAGTTTTTCTTATTCATTTAAATAAAAATTTTAAATTTAAGAAACACAATAGTAGTTTGTTAAAATAAAATCAAATTAATATAAAAAGATGGTATAACATGATAACTAATTATATTATTACTATTTGATTAAATAATTTTGATTAAATAATAAAGTTAGTATATATAAATTTAACCAAATTTAAATCTAATTTTTTTTAATTAAATTTACAATAAATAATAATTTTTTATTTAATTATAATGTTTTTATTTTTCTTTATTGGATATTATTGAAATACAAGCGTTACAGTCGCGTGTCTATATATTTTTTATGATTAGTTTTTATTTCTTTTCAATTTTTAATATATCCACTTTTTCTCTTATATTTTTATTATTTTTTAAATATATAAATTATAATAATTATTTTTTCTTTAATAACACTTTTATTTTTTTCTCTCTTAATACACCAAAAGAGAAGTTATATAAAAAAAATACTCTTTATATATAATTATAACTATAAATATTAGTTGATCATTAATTTTTATTGCCTCTTGTTTTTATTAGTGTTCTCACACTTATATTTTTATTAATAAATGCAAGTCACATTTGGTAATTGATGAAGAAATGAAAGGGAGAAAAAAAAATCAATTATCTAATAATTGAAAAAAAGTATTTATTTTTAATTGTGTTATTGAAGATATTTAAAATTATCTTATAATCTATATGTCATGCAGATTAAAAAAATGTTTATATTAAGAAAAAGATGAGATAATTTAAACTCTTGATTTGACTTAACCTAGGTAGTACATGACTAGAACTTCATGCTGAGTGTATTGAAGAAGAAAAATGTACATTTCCTCATGCATGTTACAATATGTCATCCATGTGAAAACATATATTTTGTGAATTCCTAATGATTTAAAAATTTCAAATAACTCATCTAATATTTATCATTGTATATATGTCTAAAGTAGAAAAATGTATGAGATGAAATATTATGATTGTCTTGTATTCACATTATTTTCTCCTTTTTTTGATTTGTAGTGTTCTTTAAAAGGAAGTTTGTGAGACTCTAATTGAACTAATTTTTTTTAGAGAGTTATGTTCTAAGGTATTGAGTTTAGAGAGCTTAAGTTTGTTAGAAAAAATTATAGTTTTAACTTTATGTAAGTTAGAAAAATATTTTATCCTTCCTTTTTTTGACATAATGATCCATTTACCTATTCACTTAGTAGATGAGACAAAGATTGTTGGCACAGTGCAATATCATTAAATGTATCCTATTGAAAGATATCTTTATAGTCTTAAATCATATGTGAGGAATAAGATTTGTCCAACAGGATGTATTATTAAAGTTTTTATATTGCACAAGAGTGTGTGCGCTTTTGTTCAATGTATTTGCATGGAGTTCAGACAAGATTGAATAAATATTGAAAAAATTATGAAGATAATCCAAATTGGTTAAATAAATTAAAGTTGAAAGAACTAAATATAGTAGAAGAAGAACAAGCAAGAATTTATGTTCTTCAAAATTGTGATGAAGTCTCACCTTTTATTGAGTAAGCAATTTTCTTCAATTACATATTTATATTATTATTGTAAATGTATAATTTATTGTATTCTTACCTTTTATAATCAAGTTACAAAAAAATTTTTTTTTTTGAAGAAAGCAAATTCACAAAATATGAAATAAAGACATCAAAAAGAATTTCTGTAATGGTTCAAAAAATATGTACTTTTTTTGTGTGTACTATCATTGCATAACTTAAAGAATAATTAATTATATTTTATTTTGAAAAAAAAAAGAGGATGAAAATAGAAATGAATCTTTATTTGACTTGACTTATGAAACTCGTATATGTGTTTTTTGATACATAAATTATTTGATAAATGGTTAGATTTTTAATACAAAGAAATGTACTTGAAATAATAAAATAGTGGAGTTTTAATTAAAGGTGACGAGAATGCAATTAATCTTGGTTACTTTTATGTCTTGGGTGAAAACAATGTTGTTTTATTTGAATTTGATTGGTGAGATGTGTGTCCCAAACTAAGAGGATAAAAAAAAGGTAAATGTGAATTTATTCTCATTTATATGTCCTAGCTAGTCAAGCTCAAGATTGTAATTAATTTGATATAGTAAAAACAAAGTCTCATACTTATATAATATGTCTGAGAAAATTATACCTAAGGTGTGTTTAGACAATAATGATATTAACTATATACCTTTTACATCTAGTGATATATTAGAAAATAAACATATATTATCTTTAAATAAAAATGACTTAACTCAATCAATGACTAAAAAATTTTTAATAGTTTGTATGCAAATTATTAATAAAAAAAAAGATACCAAAAATATTAATTTCAAATATGATGAAGAAAGTCGTAATATGATTGAATATATATATATATATATATATATATATATATATATATATATATATATATATATAAAATTTATGACAAATTATTATTTTTATAAATGAATTATAATTATTTACAATATAATTAAATAATAATATTATATCAAAACTTTATTTTTGATACCAAACATTACGTATATTAAAATGGTAACAAAATAATATTTTAGTAATAGAGTAATAGAAAATAAGTGAATATTTTTTTAACAAGGAGTATGATGCAATAAAAACGAAAAAAAATTAATTATTTCTATTACTTTATAAATATTTAATAAATATTTTAGTATTTATAACTTTTTACTATAGGAAAATAAAAAATATATAATATTTATACCAGTCATATATTATTATTAATAAATCTATAATTACAAGTTTTAATTATAATTATAATTATGTTTATATGATAATAAAGTGAAAATAAGATTGACTTAACGGAAGACCATGAATTTAAAATAAAATGATATATATATAAAATTTGGGATAAATTATTATTAGTATAAATATTTTAAAATGTTATTATTAATAATAGATATTTGTTTACAATTCTACTGACATGTCTACTAATATAAAATAAATAATTATTTAACATATTCTTTTACCTTTTTAGATGAATTAAGTAATAATTTTTAATTTTATCATTATTATAAATAGTATTCGTGACAAATAAAAAAATCATTATATAAAATATTTATTAATTTGTCATATTATTTGATATCACTTTTAATATTTGATCTTATAGTTATTGTTGTGATCATCGTTGTCTGACACATATTTGATCTCAGTTGTTGTTTTCAGTCATCGTTTTGTTCTCGTCATATTTGATCTCAGTTGTTTATCGTTGTCGTCATTATTTCATAGTTATTCTTGTCATTGTTTCACAATTATTGTTATTATTCTTGTCATTATTTCAGAGTATTCTTGTATTTTTTCACAATTATTGTTTATTATTGTTGTTTTTGTTGTCAATATTATTTCAGAGTTATTCTTGTCATTTTTTTCACAATTATTATTTTCAGTTAACGCTGTTATCATTGTTTTACACATATTTGATCTTGTCATTTTTCACAATTATTATTTTCAGTAATAGTTGTTATCATTGTTTTACACATATTTGATCTCAATTCGCCCCTTCAATCCTCCTGGGCCCAAATAACTCAATTTTGTTTTGAACTATTTTGGTAAATGAATTAGTTTAATCCAAAATTGAGATAATGGATATAATCCAAAAAATAATTCACAACCTGTTATTAATAGACTTGAAGTCACCAAATTCTGAGGACTCAGTATTCATTTATGTCTAATTGTTCCATGTATAGTTCCTCTAACCATGTTTTGTAAACGAACTAGGACAAATCCAAATTGTTCTTGTAAAAGATCAATTTATATGGTCAAATAGTTCTATTCTAAATTTAATACCAATTAAATCCAAATTGATCTTGTAATAGTTTAATTATATAAGATGTCTGACAACAAAAATTAAACACATTACTTAACATTCTTAGAATACAAATTTAAAAATCAGATTATTGAAACGACATAGACTCAGAGAGTGGGAAGATAAGAAGCAATTCTAGGTACTGAAGGAAAAAACATGAATAGCAGGATTAGTTTTTGTTTTTTTTTTCTTAAATTAAAAACATGACTACTTGTTGTCACGTGAAGATCAAGTATGGTGTTGGAGCATACGAAAATTTGTGGTACCCAGAAGATGTAGGATCAAGAATGGAACCTTTGATGAGGAAGAAGCTGTTGGCAGAGTCCCATACAGGTGGAATAAACAAGGCGATCCTTGGCAGCAGTGCGATGGCTCTTGGTGTGCTTGCAGAAATACTTGAGTTGTTTAATGGTGCAACAACCAAGCATTTGAGAAAGCAACAAGAACAACCAATTAATGGCCTTTTTCTTGATACCAGCAAACACGGGTGCCACACAATTCTCTCGTCCGCAATGCTCACATCTTGGCAACACTGGCTCCATCCAATTCTTTGGTGCCCTATCATACATGCTGTCTTTTTTCTTCTCAATGAATTTCAACAACTCATCCAATTTCTTCACCACATCAAGCTCCATCTCGAACTTGTTCAAGCACCTCTTGCACTGAACCCTCCCTGTGATCGTAGTGATATTGTTTTGCACCAGGTATTCCAAGTCATGGATCGTCGCTCGCTGATTCGTTGCCCATGGAAAAGGTGGATCAATGGCTCCCTTAACCGCAGGTGCACGACGAGCACGTGAGAAAACAGAAACAGGAGCATTTGCGCGCACACCAACATAGTTATCTTTGGAGTTGTTCTTGCTGCTGCAGGATGCTGTATATGGTGCTAATGTGGGGTTTGTAAGTGACAAAGCTGTTACAGGATCATTTACATATACGTCACCATTTCCACCATCATCATATGAGTTTTTTTGGTTCTTGCTGCTGGACACTGTACATGGTTCTAACATGAGCCTTGTGGATAACAAAGCTGTTAATGGACCACCATTATCATCTTTGGTGGTGGTCTTCGAAGGTGATACCAACAGGGGACTGAGGTGTGGGAAGTGATGCGTTTCCTGTGGTTCTTTCACAGGAAAAAAACTTATCTCCTGTGAACAATATCTAGGTCTTTTCCGTTGTAAGGTGGAAGTTGAACTCTTATCAGGTAAAGAAGGAGCGAGAGAATCATCTGATAAACTCATTACTTGTGGAGTTTTGTTGAATATGGAGAAGCTAACGTAAACTGTAACGGCGGTATGATTATAAACACTCCATTTTATTTCTTTATGCGTACATTAAGCGTCCATTGTCGAATTCTTTGCAAACTTAGTCATAAGGGAGTACCTGATTCTGCGGAGGATAAACCTTATGTGAAGAACAGAAACATTCTCAAATCTTAATAAAACAATTAATTTAAAATTAATTAGCCCTATAATTGCGAAGTCTGAAAAAATCAGAAAACTTCATGTTTATAAATAACCACCAGATTTTTAGGCATCTATTTTCTCCTGTTTTCTCTCGGGTTTGGTGCATGCATGTGACTGCTTTTTACTGTTCTTAATTTTATTCTTGTGATTCACTAAGATCTTCTAATAAATACTTATTAGATTTTTTTTCTTTCACTCAAGGTATTTTTTTTGTGTTTTTTTGTTTTAACTATCTATACTATAAAGTGTACTGAATGACTTTATCTCTGCCATTTAATTATACATACTCCAATTAATTTAAATTTAAGCTTGTTCAAATCTTAAAGAAAAAACAACAAGATAAACACAAGCTTTTATATATATATATATATATATATTTTAAGTTGTCTATGATCTTAGATAACAATATTAAGCTTCACATTTCGGGTATCGTATATGGATATTTTGATGTTGGTAATGAAAAACAAGTGCGAACAATGTTGTTTGTTTGTTACAGCACATTATATACTAAATTACAGTCTCGTCTCAGCGACTATAATTTGGGAGATTAATTCAGATATGACATTGCTATCATTTAATAATTAATGGCTAAGATCTCGTTAGTGAATTACGATATTTTTTCTGTCCTTGATTGGTCAGTATCTCTATTTTGAATCCTTGGACAATAAAACGACTGAGATGAACTCGTTTCACTTTCTAAATAAATAAGAGGAATTTTCTTAAATGTAAAATGTCTGTCAAAGATGGTTGAGTAAACATATTTAAGATTGCATAGAGAGAAAGACATGTATTGTTTTAGTTGTTGGACATTATGGGTTGATTTTATTGGGTTAAAAACATTACGATTTTACTGATATGGGTTGATTTTTAAAATATTATATAAAGGGGCAAGCCATATTAAGTTGCACTTAAAACAAGTTTAATACAAAAACAATTTTGTTTTTAAATATGAATTTATACAAGGGACACGACTTTGATGTAAAATTCGTATTACAATTTTTTTTTTACAATTGAAATTATTCTTTTATATAAATGTATTATTTAAAAAATTAATAATTTATTTATTTTTTATTATATATATATAAAAGTTATAAAATATTATATCAATTATTTATTTTATTTATATCACATATTATTTTATATAAATTTTGTATAAGTAATAGAATTAGATAAAAAATTAATTAAAATGTTGATTTTATATTGAATAGAATAAAAATAAAACATAAAATACGGGAGTAGTTTTCAATGCATTAAAATATTAATTTATTTTAAAGTTAATATTACTTCTTTACTTACTGTACATAAGAAGTGCTTTTACTGCTATTTCTTTTATTTTGATTCAACGAAAATTTTTTTAAGTTTATTTTCAACTGTTGATCTATTTTATTTTGAATGCGAGAAGTGATAGATCGTTCTCATTTCTCTTGTTGCATATTAAGATTAAGAACAAAATTTGGATTAGATAAATGAATAGATAATAATCTTCGTTTTAAATGTGAATGAAATTCTTATGATTTGAAAATAATGTTTTTTAACATGTAAATCAGGTCGAATAGACATTAATATAATTTTCATCAACAAAATATTCACATCATTAAATATCTTATAATTTATTTCCTTCAATAATATTAATAATTTTTTTTATTTTATAATTATTATATTGCTTAATGAAAATTTTATTATTGTAATTAGTTATGTTTTTTCAACTTCTCATTATATAACTAGTTATAATGAAAAAGCAATTATTGACTAAGAACGTTGTCAATTTTATCCAAATATTTATTCGATCCTTAAGACCTCGATTTTCACAAACTTTGTTTATATTTTATCAAACTTTCACGGCTTTCATCTGATTCAATAAAATATCATCTTTTTTAAATAACCAACAAATTTTTCAACCATTTCCAGTTGGAGTAACCAGATTCTTATAACATCGTTCATTCCTCTCCCTTTCAAAATATACGACTTTTTATAGGTAATTTTGTTTTTAAATATATATATATATATATATATATATATTTTAAATTTAATAATTTTAAGAATAAGACAAATGAGTAAACTAACTAATTTTAAAATAGATAACACACATCAATTTTGCATATCTCTTCAATATTTGTATCAATGTCATGCTTTTTTTTTTTTTTTTTTTTAATCTTAATCAAAGGAGAGGTGTTTTAAAAATCATTTTGGAGAATTTGAAAGAGCATTAAGATCGAGAGTTTTTTTTCACTAGTATTTTAGTCTGATAAAAGAATACGAGTTTCTTTTGCAGGAATAAGTGGTGAATCTTAATTTTCCTTTTTTAGATATGTGATTTCAGTATTTAAAATCTATATCAAATAATGAAAATAGTGATATTTTGAAATTAAGATGAAAAATATATAGAGAAACTATGAGTGATGTTATTTCTTTTTTCTGTGTTGAGAAACAAAATTTTTCATAATTTTCAAATCAATATTGTTGAGGTAAAATTTTCAACCTTGAAAAACATAGAAGGAATCTTATTTTTAATAAAACGCGAAGAGGTTTCACATGTTCACGATTATTTTTTTTAGACAAAAAAAACTAATACTTTATTGTGTAGAGAAAAGATAAGTTACTGTTAGTGTACATTTAATAAAACTATTAATTTTCATAATTTATAGTAAAAAAAATTAATATTTTTTTAATAATATCATTGTAATTTTGTTTTTCTATTTTTACCGAAACCACTAACAGTAACTTATCTTTTCTCTACACAATAAAGTATTAGTTTTCATAATTTTCATAATTTATAGTAAAAATACAAATACACAAAATAATAAAAATATTAATTTTCATAATTTATAGTAAAAAAAATATTAATTTTTTTTAATAATATCATTGTTATTTTACTATAAATTATGATTTTTTTTACTATAAATTATGAAAATTAATATTTTTATTAATTTGTGTATTTGTGTTTTTCCTTTTATTATAATTTGTTGCTTATCTAAATGACACAACAACAAAGCAAATAATAGATTTATGTACTACATGTAATAACACACATGGTGAGTGTATATTCAGTGATTTACTAAAATGCACATTCATTTATGTAATTTTGTAAAATAGGATAATGGGTATAAATATACATTTCAATGTAAAGAGATAAAAATATAAAGTATTTATGATTTAATTTAAATGCACGATATCCTTTAAATTCTTCCAAATCTATAAAATCTTTTCAAATATTATGATTTTATATTTTATTATAATTACAAAATCCTAATTATAATTTTTTTTAAATTACTTACATTCTTACATAGTCTTTTGAATTCTACAAGACATTTTTCCCCTGTAAAATAGTATTTCCAAATTCTAATTGAACACACCCTAAAATAATAAATATATATTTAAAAATTTAAAGTAATAGTTTCTAAATTTATTTTATTTTAAATGTTTAATTTAAGAAAAATATATACATATATTAAAAAAGATAAAACATTAAGAATTCAATAATTATATTGATTTAGATTAATGTTTATTGAAAATAAATATTTAATTAAAATAATAAAATGGATTAATCCGTTGTTTTAACTCCATTTACTTCTAATCCAAAAAAGATGAAACAGAACAAATTGACCTAAAACAGACTAAAACTATCAATAATTAATATGTAACTAATTTTACAAATTTTTACATTTTGAGGGCATCAATCATACACAATATTTAGAATTTCCTCATAACATAGTTTATTCTAAATTAAAAAATGACATTATGTTATCGATAAAAATGAAAAATCAATAAAGATAAAAGAGTTTGATTGATTTTTCAAAGTGAGTGTAAGCGAAAAATTATAAATGAATATTTAATATGAATGAATTGAGAAAAATCATTTGATATAAATGAATATTTAATATGAATGAATTGAAAAAAAACATTTGATATTATTAAATAGGATTAAAATTGTAAAATAAAATAATCTAAATTTTACTTTAAAAAATTAAATAGAAAAATACTATCTTACTAATAAAAATACAGCGTATACATTTTGTTTCTTTCATTATTTTCTACCTCGCGACTTTCACACTCCCATGCTTCTTTCTCCTCCTTATATCATTGGAGAAACAATTTTCTTGCCAAGTTTGATTTAGCTCACGATATTGATATTGATATTAAATCAAATTTCTTGTTAAGTTAAAGTTTGGTGATTTTAGCCACTTTAATAATTAGTACAATTGATGAAATGCAAATTGGTTCGTCCTTACATATATTAACAAAATTAAGACATTATACTAGTTCATAAATCTTTTTCATTTTTTTATATCTATATTATATATCAAAGAGATTTTAATGGATTTATAACCGCTTATTATATCAGAGAGAAAAAGAAAAATATTATAAATAATGGAGTAAAAAAATATATAGAGTATATTTAAAGAATAAAAAGAGAAAATAAAACAAAATGAAATTTTAAAAAAATATCCTATAATTAACGGGATTCCCTTTTTAAAAAAAAACTTTTTTTTTGTCAGTATGTAAAGAAAAAAAAATCATAATACTGAAAAATCATAATACTTATTTTAAGGAAAATATTATTTTTTTAAAAAAGATGATTGCGAAATAAAAATTAAATTTGCAAGTCGATTGATTATATATATATATATATATATATATATATATATATATATATATATATATATATATATAAAGAAGATATAAGTACGTACAAAATTAAATATTTTAAAATTATTTATTTTATCTTTAAAAATTAAATATTTTATTATATATTTATAAATTTCTGAAATAAAATATTATTATTAAAATAAAAGATAATATATTTTAAATAATTTTCTTTTACTTTTAGAGACTCTTTATTTCTGCTTCTACGTATTCTTGAGTGTAATGAAGAATGATAATTCATTTGGTAAAAGTATTTATAAAAATGGGTTAATTTGATATATATATATATATATATATATATATATATATATATATATATATATATATATATATAGCTATAAATTTTAGATTCAATTAAGGTACGAGGCCAATTTCAGCAAAATTTTCCTTACACTCAATTGGAAGGTTCCATGAAAAATAGAAGAAATATCGCCGTGTGGCCAAAATAGATAGAGTAGGTGGTGAGGAGCTTGGGTCACGCGCTATGGAGCATGGGACGGCGACGCTGGAGAAGAGGAAGGAACAACAGGCAGCGGTGGTTGCCACTTTTTAGGACCTCCAACGAATCGTAGTAGAGAGTGGTTGGAGTTTGCGGCACTTGGTGAAGGGATTTTGAAAGCCGAAAGCAGAAGGAGTTGTTGTGGTTCAGAAGAAAAGGGCGTGGAAAAGAGGGAGGAACCGAAGACAGGGGTAGAAGAAGTGCCAAGCACTGGTGTTGAAGATAAAGTTCCAAATGCAGAAGCAGAAGATGGGGAGGTGGACGGAGATGAAAAAGGTTGAGCAGGGCCAAACATGATGTTGTTATGAAAGCAACATAAATTGTGGAAAGGACGAAATAGAAGATGGGATTGGTCTCTATTTGTCCCTCTCAAGTTCAAAGCAGAAAGTGCGGCAGAGTGTGATGCGTGGGGATTGAACCAGTTAGGGGTATGAATCGGAGTGCGTCTGAACCGGGCATGACCGGTTAAGGAGGGAGATGAGTTTGGTTTGATGTGGAATGAGCGATAAAATACGAAGCATTTATGTATCAATTTATAGTTAGAGCATGTAACAGAGTCAATCAAAGCATTTATCAAAGCAAATGAAAATGAGCCCTACACTCTATTGGAGATATTAAAGAAAAAAGAAAAAACCTGGAACTTCTGTTTTGGGTTTGAATCTTATTACCGGTAAGTTATTCAGCTCCAATCTTATTATAGGCACGTCGCTCAGCTCCAACCATCAATTTATGTTTTCTCAAATCATTTCGCTTCTTTTTCTCTGTTTTCCTTCTCAAGCAGAATCTTTCTGTGAGATTTTTTATCCTTCAATTTATAAAGAAATTTTGATAATCACCTTTTTTTTTTTTTTTCTATTCTTCAGATAATAGAGCGGTTATAGCTGGTAGAAAGTGGTTGTAGCTGATAAAAGGTGCCTTTTTTTTTTTTAAACAATAATAATAATAAACATAAACGTAATTCATGATAACCATGCTGTAAAATAAATGAAAAAGTGTACCTGAATTAGTCATAATGATGATGAAGTTTTGTAGAGCACTGTATTGATAACAATTGTTAGGATCGAACGCTTACCACTAGGCCAAAAATTGAATTATTCATAATGATGATGTCTTTGTAAAGCACTATATTGATTTTATAGTCTTCCACCTGAATTTTCCTCTTGATTTTCTTTCTTGACGGGGATAGAAATAAAGGAACGAGACTGATACTTATGTTCTGTGTGTGCTCCCAGAATGAGAGCATAACCCTTTAGATAACCAGAATTAGGTTAATTACTTAAGTTTTAGTATTTTTAATTTGGCCCCTCATCAAATTAGAAATTGCTCTATGATTTCTACACACTTTTATTTTCATGACATATACCTTTAGCCAAAACTTTAATTTAGTGAGATTAGTTTATTATTTGACTTAATAAATAATGACACTAATACATTTAAATTACATATATATACCCAAATTTTGTCATCACCTTTAGCCGGTGGTAATGGTAGCTTGGGACGAGTGGCGCATCTCAATAAAATTTTATACTTTGTATCAATATTTATAATTTCAGTACTTAAAATTTAATAATTATTAAATATTTATTTATATATTTAAATTAATTTTTTTATTAATAATATATTAAAAATTTAAAATAAATTTGGTTGTCTGAAAAGAGGATAGGAGGAAACCGACATCTCACTTTAGAATTTTTTATTTATTTTGTTTTTATTATATTTTCTATTTATTTTTATTTTTATATTGATATTTTGTATATTTGATTTTTTTTTGGAAAATATTTTTAATGAAAAAAAGGAGGTATTAATAAGGAGAAAGATATTTGTTTTTTAAAAGATGAATGAGTGAAAAATAGAGTTACAGTTGTATTTTAGATTCAAAATTTAAAATAATTTTGTTTTTTAGTCTTTTCAAATGTAAAAATAATATTTTAATTTCTTTCCGTTTAAAAATAATATTTGTAGTCTTTCAAATTCAAATAATATTTTAATTTTAAAATAATTGTTTAACCATTATAATTATATATATATATATATATATATATATATATATTTTTTTTTTCAAAATTAACTTTCTTGAAAAATTGCATTGAGAAAACTGTGTTTAATTGTAGTGAACTTATTTATGTTTATTCAAAAATTGCATTGAGAAAACCGATTTTAATCGTAGTAAACTTATTTATACATTATTACTACTACGACCCTCAACTAAAAAATATTGTCAGTGATGTTATAAATAATTTTTTAAAAAATTTTATTACTTGTTTTTTCTACGAAGGAACCAAATAACAGGAAAGTTTCGCTTTTAATTTTTAATTGGAAATGACAATTACTTTAAAAAAAACTGAAAAATCAATTTTCAATTTATTAATTTTAAAAAATAAATTTTAAATTGGTAAAAATTAAATTTAAATTTTTATCATGATTAATAATAAAAAAATCTTATTATATTCTATTGTTTGAAAAGAACAATACTTGCAACTATATTTATTTATTTAAGAATAATAGTTGTAGATGTATTTTTTTATTTTATATTTAAATTTTTAATAATTTATATTAAATATTAATATAAATTGGAGAAATATAAAAGACATTTTGTAGAATCAACAATATTTTTTAAATAACATAATATGTCCTACCGTTAAAAATAACATAACATATATTAGGAAAATATAACTTGATAAATAATTATTTAATATATAATTAATTAATAATTTATATGTACAGGAATTTATTTTTTAACAATTTATATGTAAAAGGAATATAAAGAATGGAGAGAAAATAATAATAATAATAATATAATACAAAACATCTAACAATAATAAATAATAATTCTGTTCAAATGTTATTAATATTATTATATAATAAAATTGGATTATGCGGATGTATATATATATAAAAAAAGAAAACAGTTATCTTAATGTGAGTTCCCTGTTTATTATTGTTATCACGTTGAAAGCTCTTTGGTGAAAATACTTTATATATATATATATATATATATATATATATATATATATATAAATCACCATATACAAAAACAAAAAAAAAAATTATCACACAATTTCATATTTTAAATTTTAAAACGTTTTATAACAAAAAAAATAAATAAATAAAAGTTTGAAAGAGTCTTTTTATATTTTTGAACCATTCGTATCAGCGGTTATAAAAACACTAGGTAAGAACATACTATCAAATCATCATTAATGAAAATCCAAAATACCTAACAAAGAAATGAAGCAAAAACTGAAAAAACTCGGCTAAATTTATACAATCACTTAAAACTATTTCCACCATGGTCAATACCATTCAATCGATGAAATTCAAAAGCAACATGGATCAAACTACAATAGACTTTCAAAAGCAGACATGGATCAAACTACAATAGACTACCTGCAACGATGTGACTCATATATCACGAACTAGAAAAACAATGAATAAAGTTTTTAAATAAGGGTAAAGAGTAGGTTACCTTTGATCAAATTTTGAGGCTCCAGGCTCTGGTATTTCTACCGATGAGGAACGCACAGTACGCATCAACCGCCGCGTAGGCAACTTGCTTGTTACTGAGATATGAAACAGACCACCTGCTCATGCTTATCTCCCTCGGTTGGAACACTCGAAAACCGAGGCAATTATCTACGATCTCTTCCACCGAAGCCTGTATGAGGTTATCGTAGACCAGCCTCAGATCCAGAGGATCGGTGTACATCTCCAATTCATACTCCGAATACTCGAGCTTCCGCCGGTCGGAGTGGTTCCAGAATCCGACAAAGGTGTGGTCAGGATTTTTCAAGAAAGTGCGGAGGCTCTCCGGCACGCCGTCGACGAACGCGAGTTGGAAGATGAGGCAGCGGCGGCCGACGCAGAGCTGTAGCGTGTCCGGAGGCGGGTCGTAGCCGCCGGGAGTCCACTGGACGCCGAGGCCGACGACGAGGCGGTTGAGGTAAACATAGTGGCGGCCGAAGTGGAGTGTGGAGGAAAGCCAGCGTTTGACGACGGAGGCACTGGAGGTGACTGTGACGTTGATGTAATCTCCGGCGAGGTAGACAGTGTAGACGAAGTGGTTGAAACGGTTTTCTATGTGAGTGACTGAGGCCATGTTTTGGAAACGTCGTCAAAGTATCTGTTGAGAGGATTTCACACAGTGCTTTTGTTTTTGTGTTTAGGCTCATGCTCTTTCTGAATTTGTTTACTATTCATATTTAAATGATAATGGCTTTACATTTTATGCAGTATATTTTATGGCTTAAATAGATCTTTCTTCTCGCATGTTTTTTTTAGTTATTATTATTAATATTATTTAGTCTTAAATTTTTTTAATATAAGTTAATGTGGTATTTTTTGTCTACAAAGTTAAATTATTTACTTTGATCACGTTTCACATTCCCACATACACCATATCTATTTTAAGCGGAAAAGTACTAAAAAATTATTATCAATAAACAATAAAAAAACATGAAAAAAAAAAAATAAATAAAAAGATGAGAGATTAAATTTAAATATATTTAATAATTATTAAATTTAGAATATCAAAATTATAATGTTATCGTAAATAATTAACATACATATATTATTTTCTTTTATAAATATTAAACCAAATTAACACTAAAAGAAATTATGAGATAAAATTTTAAAGAATATTTAATCAATTTATATTTAATAAAAGATTAAGATTGAATTTTTTATTACAAAATATTCATAACATATTATTATACATTTCCAAAATTAATAAAATTGAATACTACTCGGACTAGACAAACGGAGTTATCGAAATCATTTATGTATTTCTAATATATTCTTTCTTATATTATATTATATCTTTATGTATACAATATTTTTTTTATAAATTAAAATTGATATCTAAATTATTTTTTAATTTAAATAAAATAAACTTATATAACTAACTGAAAATTTTTTTTTCATTTAGCATCAAAGTTCCCGAATTGCTTGAGTTGGGAGCCAAACAGGAAGTGTTTTTTGAGCCTAGCCACAACTTTTCATATCTGGGGTCCACTCGTTGCTCCTCCATTTTAGGACTGTTTCCTCTCCAATTACTTTTGACCATGCATCTCCATTTTTGAACCTGTGTATACTGCCATACATATCAGCTTTGTATGCTACCTCCTACAAAACCAACACATTCTCCTTCCTAAGAGACCTGTCTCACATTTTGCATCATTTTGTTTATATATATATATATATATATATATATATATATATATATATATATATTAAAAATAATTGTCAACACTCCTTATTCTTATATCCATCGCTGCTTTTTATCATATAAAAATATTTTAAAGAGTATATATAACTGATTTTATATGTTGTCCAAAGACATGTTATATACATTTAATTTACACGTTACGAGTCATTATCGCATTTAATTTTTATTGTTTAAAAAAGTCTTCGGATCGTTAACAATCATAGTAGGAGTAAAATTAGTCTCTGATTGAATAGATTAAAAAAAAAACGTTATGATAAAATATAACATGTTAATAAATTCTGATGAAAGCATGAACAAATGGTATGATATGCATAGAAACGGTTAAACAATAAATATTGCACAACAATTGTTTAATTAAAACTCCCGTTACAAAGTTCTCATTTAGAGTTTAAACAATAAAAAGTTACATATTATCTGCGATTCAGACTTTTTAAAATAATGTTTAAATATGAATTAACGTAAGTTTACATTAACTATATATCAATTAACGTAAAATTTACATTAACTATGTGTTTATTCATTTTATATTTATGTTAATACTATAAAATGTATCTACCTGATTTTTCATCTAAGAGATCTTACAAATCAATACTATTGAATACATATTAATTAATCATAATGCACAAAATAAGCACCCAATTATTCAGTAACGAATGAATTAATAGTAAAGTATTATACTATTAAATTATTAATTAGATATTAAAACAATTATTATTATCTAAAATAATTAAAACGTTTTTTACATTTTAATTATCTGTTAATACATAATTATCTTTGTCTTAATGCTAATATGAATATTGGACTGTTTTCACATGAATTTCTATTTTTTTTATCTAGCATTATCCAAAATCCAAGATATCTAAATATAGTAATTGTTCGAAAAGACCTGTTTGAACTTTTAATTATAGTTATACTTTATGACAGAAACATGAAAAAATTATTTTTTTTTTTAATCATAAATTTGGTCTAGAATTTTGTGTGAATGGTTATTTTTAAATTAGACAAACCATTTTCTGGTAATATATATTCATCTTAAATGAGTTAAACTTGTTAGAAATGCCATAAGAAAGTTCTTCTTTAAGAAAATGAACCATTCGATATCCATGTCAAGGGGTCATGAATAGTAACAAGCCAAAAATCTGTAATTTTGTCAAGGTTGGTTTGATCAAAAGAAGGAAAAAAAAAAACGCAGACCCCACAATTTCATTATATATATCTAAACACATATTTTCTTAAATTCTTACACATATTCTGCACTAACTCTCTCGTGCTAATAAGTCCAAAACAAAAAAACACCAGTATACACTAGAGCACTAGAAGAAACAGTTGCGCTAATAGCAGATTAGCATAAAAGAGTTAATCATGAGTCCCAACGTTCCACACTCTGCTGTTCCTCCCCACTAGGAACGCACAGTAGGCATCAACGGTCGCATAAGCAACTTGATCGTCGCTAAGATGTTTACGATCCCAATCGCTCATGCTAATCTCCCTCCTCTGCTGCACTTCGTACCCCAGGCATTTCTGGACGATCTTCTCCACTGAATCTTTAACCAGACTCTCATCGGTTTCAGTTTCTGCAAAATACCTCAGATCCAGAGGATCGCTCGACATATCCAAACTGTGCTCCGAATACTCGAGCTTCCGGCGGTCCGAACGGTTCCAGAATCCAACGAAGATGTGAGAGCGATGGTTGAGGAACGTGCGGAGTTTCCTCGGCACGCTGTCGGCTTGAGTGAGCTGGAAGATGAGGCAGCGGTGGCCGACGCAGAGCTGCAGCGTGTCCGCCGGAGGATCTGAGCCGCCGGGAGTCCACTGGACGCCGAGGCCTACGACGAGGCGCTCCAGGAGGACGTAGTGGCGACGGAGGTGGAGCGTGGTGGAGAGCCAGCGGCGCACGACGGAGGCCGTGGATGTGACAGTGACGGTGACGTAGTCTCCGGCGACCTCAACAGTGTAGATGTCGTGGCTGAAACGGTGTAGGCAGTCGATGACTGTGGCCATGGTTTGGAAACGTGTGAGCGAAGAAACAGAGCGGTGGAAGAGAATGAAAATGAGAATGTTGCTGTGTGTTGAGCAGTGGGGATCTTGATAGTAGTCAAGGGTTCTCATGAATTTCTTATTTTATATTTATGATTTTAGTCCAATATTAAATATATTATAAAAAATTTGAAAAAATAAATTAAATAAAAAAATTTTAAAAAAAGTTTATTACTTAATTTTTTTTTCATATTTTCTTATCAACAATAATATTTTATTAATATTTAATTACTTTTTTAATTTTTAAAAAATATATTAAATAAAAAAATTAAAATTAATTTTTCATTTTTTCTGATTTAAGTAATTTTCCATTTTTTTTCACCTTTTTATATACTCTTATTAATGATAATATTAATTAATTAATATTGAATTATTTTTATAATTTATATTTTTAAATTTATTGTTTATCTATCCTCTTTTCTTTTCATATTCCATTCATAAAATTATATTAATTGATAATTTTTTTTATCTTTTCATATTATTTATTTTATTATTATTTGTTATGTTAATTTTTATTAAGGAATATTTATTGTTTGAAAAAAATATTTTTATTTTTTTAAATATAAAATATAAAAGAATAGATTATTTTTTAAAAATAAAAAAAATATTTATAAAAATGTAAATAAATTATGTCAATTTTGATAAAAATAAGAAAATCAGTTATATTTTATTTAATAAATTGTTTAATTTATCTTATTTTGATTATAACTACAACAGATATATGTAATAAATATTATTAAAGCAAGACTGTATTATTATTAAAATAAGATTAAGACTATAAAACAGAACAAAAAATAAAATTCTTACATATATATTTTGATTATTTATATTAAAAAAAAGTTATTGAATTCAAACATTAAAAAAAATTAAATAAATAATTTTTATTTATTTATTATTATATAATTTTTTTTTATAATTCACTCCGTAACTGCTCAAGATTCGTCAGCGCTGCCGAGGAACGAAGGTATAGCAGCGGCAGCTTGTCATGTCTGCATGCCGCACACTCTGCTCAGTAGTGCCTTTGTAGTGTCCGCACACTACGCTCAGGAGCGGTTTTGTACAGAACATATAGGGATAAAGCTGGTTATGATTGGTTCAGAAACTTTTTTTTTTAACCTAAACCGTTTATTTAATTTATTAATTAAAATAAAGAAAATTCTATAACAAATATAATTTGTGTTGAGGGTTTGGATAGAGTTAATATAGCTTTTTCAATCAATTCCAAAAACTATCCGATACTCACTTTTGCTTGAAATTTATTTTGAAAAATATATATCATTTGGAATACAGTACATATCAAGGTTAATATGACGAGCTTATTAAATAGCTTTCGAATTTAGAAGGAAACAAAAGTTGTTACTGTTTGTTGAAGCGAAATGAGAAAAAAATAAGTTACAACTAAGTATAATAAATATGATTAAGTGGAAGAGAAAATAAGACAAATAAATGAAAAATAAAGTTATTTAATTAAAAAAATATTTTAAAATTTATAATTAATATATTTAATAAAATGTGATTAGTTTATTATTATTATTATTATTTAATTTTATTTATTATTTTATTATAATAAAAAAAGTAGGAGAATGTACAATAATATAGTATTATAGTTAGAAATATTGTTAATTTTTTCTCTTTTTTCTCTTCTTTATTATTTTTGTTAGTTTTTTATCCTTCTCTTGTAAATATAGGCTTATAAAAAGCTTATCTTTGTATTGATACTGTCAGGTTGATCAATAAAGAGTTATGCAAAGTTTTTCTTTCTTAATTCAAGCCATAAACACTATTATGGTATCAGATTAAGAATTTCCTTTCTAGCTTCCGCATTCCTTCTCTAGTTTCTATTTTCTTCTTTGTTGCTTCTGATCAACCATGGCTCAACTTAGCCTAAACAACACACCACCAGCACCATTACCACCAGATCATCTCATTAACCCTGTCAATCCCCTGTACTTGCATCCTGTGAAAATCCAGCCATTGTTCTTGTTTCACCTCTTTTGATAGAGACAAATTTTCATCAATGACAATGTGAAATGTTGGTGGCTTTAGAAACCAAAAACAAAGAAAAGTTCGTCAACTCAAGTCTTCCTTGCCCTCCTGTCAACGACTCTTTTCATGGCGCTTGGCGACGTTCCAACAGAATGGTCATGTCATGGCTGATACGTTCCATGACGCCCTCCATCAAACAATCTGTGATGTGGATGGACACTGTGCTTGAAATTTGGAATGATCTTAAAGAAAGATTTTCACATTCCAACAAATTTTGTGTGGCGGATCTTCAAGATCAAATACAAAACTACAAACAAGGTGAGACTAGTGTATTCGAATACTATACAAGATTAAAAATCTTGTGGAAAGAAATAGAACTGTACCGGTGCGTTCTAGCTTGTTCATGCTCCACATCCTGTTCCTGTGGACTTCTTCCAAGATTACAGAAAGAAAGGGAGGATGATTGTATAATACGCTTCCTACGAGGCTTGAACGATGATTACTCGCAGGTTCGTTCTCAAGTGATGATGATGGACCCGATGCCTTCCATTGTTAAAACCTTCTCCATGGTCTTGCAACACGAACGAGAATTTGTAAGCACACCCTCTTCCAATCAAGATTTAGTTGCGTTTTCTGTACAATCCAATGAACCCTCCAAACAATACAATAAAACTTCCACTAGAACTATCAAGAATACCAATCTTGGTAAATCCAATAGAAATAACAAGTTCTGTGAAAAATGTAAAAAGACAAATCCACTACTACAAAATATACTTTTTACGTCGTCATTTAACGTCGATTATAATTGAGACGACATAGAAAGTACTTTCCACGTCGGTTCCCAGATGAACCGACGTTAAAAGTTGAATATTAAACACATTCTACGTCGGCTTTTGGTCAACCGTGGAATTCCACGTCGGTTCCCATATGAACCAACGTTGAAAGTCTTTTTTTTTAATTTTTTTTCACTTATTGACACTTTTGACGTCGGTTCATATGAGAACATATGAACCGACGTGGAAAGTCTTTTTTTTTCACCCAAAAATTCACTTAAATTTGAAAATTGTCACTTGCGGATTCGAACTCGAGGATTTTAGAATTAAAAACTAATACTCTAACCACTAAACTATTATAATTTTCTCGATAATAACTTACAAATAAATTATATTTATATACAAATAAATATATATCCATGTAAATATATATTTATTTGTATATATTTTCTGGAAAGTATTTTTATATTTTTTTCAGCCAAAAATTCACTTAAGTTAATGAATTGTCACTGACAGACATTTGAACCCGAGTATTTTAGAGTTGAAAGTTAATATCCCAACTACTAAACTACTATATATTTTTGATAATAACTTATAAATAAATTATATTGGTATTTTTCGATTAAGGGTGAAAGTTGGATTGACTCTCGTTTGAGTAAAAATATGTAAAGCTCACGGAAATTCACTTACTCAAGCCTCGCTTGAGCGAAAATTGGTATTTTTCGCTTCAGAGCGAATGACGTGTTTCCCAAATTTATTTTATATCATTATATAAATAAAATTATAAATATTATATTCTGTCATTAAATTACAAACTCATATAAAAATACTTGCTCACAAATTTAGCATCAAATTTTGAAAATCCACTCGACACACACTTTCACTTTCGAGTGTGCTCTCACATCCAACATATAAATATATAACTATATAAATATATATCAAAATATATAAATATATTTGTATTTATATATTTACACGGATATATATTTATTTGTATATAAATATAATTTATTTGTAAATTATTATCGGAAAATTCTAGTAGTTTAGTGGTTGGAGAATCGGTCTTCAACTCTAAGGTATTGGGTTCAAATCCTATCAATGACAACTCTCTTAATAAATTAATAAACTTCTAAAAAATATAATATAAAGAGATGGGGAACCTAATAAAAATATAATATAAAGAGAGAGAAGACTTCTAGATAAATAAAAGGGGTAAGGGGGTTGTAAATAAATAAAAATTAAAAATTATTAATTTAAAAAATCATATTTTCAACGTCGGTTTATTAGAATCGACGTTGAAAGCCTTCTAGAACCGACGTTAAAAGTTTTATTTGTAGTAGTGATCACACCATAGAAACTTGTTATTGGCGCATTGGATTGGATTCTCTGCTGGATACAGAAAAGCACCTCGTGTTTCTACTGGTGCTATTTCATCTGCAAGTTTGGCAGAAGTAGAACCTGATACTTCTCATCTGCAATCTGAACTGGTTGAAGGTTCTACTCGTGAGCAATTTAGTTTCTCCAAAGAACAATACACTGCTCTTCTAGTTCTTCTTCAACAATCTCAAGTTAATTCGGCTTTAGTTCATTCTCTACAAAATCCTTCCGTTAATCCATCAGGTGATATTTCTTCTTTTACTCCTTGGATTTTGGATAGCGGTGCTACAGACCATATATGTCCATATAAAATCTTGTTTCAGTTCTTAAAACCCATTTCTCCTATACATATTAAGTTGCCTAATAGTACTACTATTACTGCAAATTTTTCTGGCAAAATAATTCTTGGCAATTTAACTCTTCAAAATTCTTTATGTACCAGATTTTGTTTCTCATCTCATCTCAATCCCTAAACTTCTATCGCATTCTGATTGCATGATTGTGTTTTTTGATACCACATGCTTGCTTGTGCAGAAATCACAATTTCGGATGACTGGTACAGCCAAATACTGTAATGACTTGTTTTATCTTCAACAAAATAATGACTTCAATTCTTGTGATTCTTTTTCACATAATGTTGTTGTTTCCAGTGATATGCCAACATTATGACATCATAGATTAGGTCACACATCTGATCGCATTTTAAAACATTTGTCTACGAAATACAATGATATTGTTTTTTATTGTTCTCAACCTTGTGACACATGTCATTTTTCGAAGTAAAAAAAGTTGCCTTTTCCACATAGCAGTAGCAAAAGTTCGTTTTTC